GCCTTCGTCCATGCGCTTGGTAACGCCGCCAATCATCATCACGACAATGTCGCGACAACGTCACGACAATGTCATAACAATGTTACAGCAACGTCGTAACAACACGTCGCGACGACCGTCGCGACAATGTTACAAAAGTGTTACGACGACGTCACGTGTGGTCCGAGGGCTCTGCTGCGGCACTTGTCGTTCACAGCGTGGATGAGGCGTTGAGCTCGTGTCGCGAGCGTCTTCGTCGGAGCGTCTGGGAGCATCAAGGCGTGGACGTGTTGAGCTTGGGTGATCCCGATCGTGGCCATCGTCCGTGCGTACCGAGTGTGTCATCTTGTAGTCTTTTCTACGTAACTACGTGTATCTACTGGAAGAAACTGGTTGGACCAAAGCGGTTGTGCGCCAACCGGCGGCGACGGCGCCGGAAGCGTGCTCGGCCCCACGCGCATCGAGAACCAGTAGTTGAGTATGAACTTGAACCGGTCGGGTACTGCCTTCGACGTGAGCAGGCGCCGTATCCGGGGGAGCGACGGATCAGCGAAGGCGAGGTCTGCAAAGTTGCCCCACGCGTTGGCGATGATGGCCATGCTTGGCGACGACCAGGCCGGGTCTGGGAACGTCGTAAGCGCGGCTTGCAAGAGCCGGAGCGAGTGGCCGCGGTGTCGCGCGGACCACGTGAGGAACGCAGGCTTGAGGCCGAGGCCGGCTTGATGTCCTGGTGCGAAGACAGTGCTTTGGTGGAGCATCCGGTGGCCTTGCGCACCCTTGCCGATGACTGGCCGTTCGCCGTTGATGAACTGGAGGACCATTTTGTCAATGAATTCGGCCGTCTTGCTGTCCGGCGCAACCCACGCGAGCTGGTACCAGAGTACCGGCAGGCAGACGGCTTGTAGGATGATGGCCTTGCCGGCCTAGGTCGTCGACTTGTGTCGCCAAAGGAGCAGCCGGTCGCGAAGGCGACGCAGTGCGTAGTCGCAGCGTGCACTGCGCAGCAGGTTCGGAGCTACGAGGATGCCAAGCGCCTTGGTCGGCTGCGACGGCGGACGCGACTTTGTTGCAACGTTGTCGCGACGTCGTCGTAACACTTTTGTAACACTGTCGCGACGTTGTTACGACATTGTTACGACGCTGTCGCGACGGTTGTCGCGACGTGTTGTTACGACGTTGCTGTAACATTGTTATGACATTGTCGTGACGTTGTCGCGACATTGTCGTGATGATGATTGGCGGCGTTACCAAGCGCATGGACGAAGGCATGAAGGTCCGCGGCGACATATACGTACTCCTCATGGGTGACCCCGGTGTGGCCAGGAGGCAGCTCCTCCTGCACATTGCGACCGTGAGCCCGAGAGACATCTACACGACGGACAAGGGCAGTTGTGGCGTCGGTCTCACGGCCGCGGTCGTGCGCGACCAGATCACCAAGGAGACGACGCTCGAAGGCGGCGCGCTCGTGCTGGCCGACATGTGCATTTCCTGCATCGACGAGTTTGACGAGATGGAGGAGGGCGACCGTACGGCCATCCACGAGGTTGATACTCTCCTTTTCGAGTGCAAATACCAAGCGGAAATATATGTATGTCATGGAGCAGCAGCCCGTACGCATTGCCCAAACCGGTATTACGACGACGCTCAACGCGCGGACGACAGTGTAGCCTTCTCCAACACTGTGCCTGCCGCCGTCAAAGTCACGCCTCTCTGTAACGCCATGTCACCAAAGTGACTACTAGTGCACGGCGGCAGGCATCGTCTTGCCAACGTCAAGTTGTGGTTTTGACTTTTGGGAACGCAAACCCAATGCGATAGTATTGCATAGTATGGCGGGTCCACCACCCAAGTAGCGGTTCGAGCCACCCTGGTTGACTGTAGAAGTGTTGAGACCGATTCAACCGACCGCTTCAACCTGGTTGAAGGCCAGCACTGCGTTTTATCAACGAATACTTCTGAAGGACTCTGTTCTACACCGCCAAACGTGGCATGCCGATCTACAATTTTCGGTCGGAACCCGCACTGACAACTTCACGGACCACCACACCGGGGCGCACAAATGAATCGCCAACCGTCGATTGAAAAATGCTACCCCAGATCACTCAACATTGGATGCATGCAGCAACTACAATCTTCACTCGTGGCGACTCACGCTTGGTGATTGAGCTCGTCCATCGCCCGAGCGGCGGCTCGAGCCACTCGAGCTGCCTGTGCGAGCCTCGAAACCAACCCAAAAGCGTCCATGCAACTTGGTAAAAACCATTTCGTGCGAAATACCGCCTCATCATTGATTGCTCGAGCACGGTTGTCAACAAGACTGCCGTTTCCAGCGCGGGGATCGATGATGGCGATGTTTCACCCACAGCAAGGGTTGAAACGCGCGTTTTGTGAAATGAAAGCGTTAAAACTGAAGCGTGTACCCATGGTTGAATTCGTCTCAACACTTCTACAGTCAACCAGGGTGGCTCGAACCGCTGCTCGGGTGGTGGACCCGCCATACCACGAGGCACAGATGAAGACTTCGTCTTCTTCGTGTTGAATACGTCCTCCAGGTGATGCTATCTTCGAGCACAGCGATGCTCGTGGTCGTCTGGGAGAAATGCGCCGTCCGGATAAAAATGATTGCGCCACGATCCAGCGTCTTTTTATCTACCGTATCCGGTCTTCGTATCCGGCTTGAGCGCTGAAATTCGAATTTCGAGGGCGCAAGAGTCCGAGCAAGGCGATGGCGGTGGCCATCTTCCTCGCGACCAACGACGAGCGCAACAAGGACGTTGGCATTAGCAAAGCCAGCGATACCTGCGTGCGCTTGGAGCCGAGTCCTCTCTCACCTGGCGTCGCTAGTATCAACTTTGACGCGGTTGTCGACTTGGCCGAAGCTGCGACCGCGCGCCCACACCTGTACCAAACTGTGGTCCAGCCGCTCGTGCTCTCTACGCTGGCGGGCCGGCGTGCTACGATTGTCGGTGCGGGCTGTGCATCGTCCGGCAAGTCAACGCTACTGCACGGTCTTATGCATGGCCGTGGTGTCATCGAGCTCGCATTGGTCGACCTCTTTGACGATGTCCAGCGCCGCGTCCATGACAACCCGGACACTGTGTATTTGATTGAAATGAGCTGCTTACTACTCGACGAAAGCAGCAACGACGACGATGACAACAACGAGCTGCGAGAGAGCTACCTTGGCGTGCGGTCCGTCGACGACGCCATCAAACACTATCAACGCTCGATCGTGGCAACCAACGGTGATGGGAAGCGGCACGCCTCAGTGGCTATTCGCGTTGAGGCGCTGGAAGACTACAGCAATGACCACAACGCAGTGCGCACCGCGCTCGTGGGCTCCATTCGGTTTATCGATGTCGCTGGATCGGCCATGATTGCCGTCCCCCAGAGCGTCAAGCCAGGCAACGTCGAGTACTTTGGTGTGAGCCGCACGCTCTCCAAGCACTTTAGCGCGCACTTGCTCGCGCCGTACACCATGTGCCTCCTCTTGGGTCTGCGCACACCGCGGGTCCACCAGCAGCAGGTTTGTTCGTGTTCATATTTGAAAATGGGGCAACGGCTTGGTGCAGGCGATCCAGGCACTACTCTACGCATGTCGCATCAAGGACCTCCCTTCCGTGAGCACAACGCCGGCGTCCGCGTCCACTTTGATCAAGGTGCGACTGCACGCTGCGCGCCAGTCATGTGACGGATGCAATTGTAGCTGGCAGCCTGGATGGAGACGGACATTTGGCTACCAACAGAGCGCGATGCGATGAAGAAGTTGCTGCCCAAAGTATACCTGCCTCGTCGTATTGTTTTTTGTTGCTCAATATTTCGAGACTAGGTCGTGTGCGACACCAAGAGCGCATGGCACCTCAAGGCCCAGACCGTCCTTCCGTTTATATTTATCAAGTCGGCGTTGCCGTCCCCCATGTACGACGTCACGTGTCTGCCTCTCTTTGCCAAGCGAATATCTCTGTAGTCTCTCGCGCGCGTCGACAAACGCAGGCGAGACGTCGAGCGAAGACGACGAGAAGCAGCCCATTCTCGACTCGTCCCGAAGCGTGCTCGAAGCCATCGACGCGCTCTTCGGCTCGGTGGGCCAGGACCACGGGCGGTCTGCCGCGTCCGCAACGCCCGTTTCCAAGCTGCGCATGATCCACTCGTGGTGGAAGGAGACGCACGACGGTCTCGTCGACGAAGAAGCCGTGACGCTCAAGTGCTCGAGCCGGCTCCAGAAGCTGCAGGCATGTATCCAGACGCAGCGCGCGCAAATCGACGTCGTTCTCGCCGAGAAGCGCAGTCTCCAAGAGGAGCTCAGCCAAAGCCAAGACAAGCTCCTCGCGGTCTCGAGTGTCGTGCAGCAGCTTCAAGATGACGTGGCCACGATGAAGCGCAAGATGGTGCGGCCGTGTACCGGTGAAGACGCGATCGCGGCGCAGTTTTCGGTGCGTTTGACCAAGGTCATTGACGACACCAAGCAAGTCGTGGCCATGAAGGACGCGCAGATCGCACAGCTCGAGGCCTCGTTGCGGGAGGCGTGCAGCAAGACGGACACTCCAACAGCAAACGACAGTTCAAACGAGGCAGCGGATGCGGATGAAAAGCGAGAGATGGCCCATGCGTGGGCAACCGAGCGCAGCCGGTTGGAAGCGGACGCGGTCGCCCTTCGCCAGCAGCTGCACGACGCAAGCACAAACACGGTTCCTATCGCCAAGATGCAGGCGATGCGCACACGGCTGCAGACCGCGCAGTCCAAACTCGAGGCCGCTACGCAGACGCTAAGCACCAAGGAGCGCGAATGGTCGGTCAAAGAGCGTCAGTTTGAGAATGCGCAAAAGGACCTCCTCGCCCAGATCGACACGCTGACGACGGCCAACGCAGCCTTGACGACGCAGTTTGCGGCGCTCAACGCGACAAGAGATATGGAGCGTCAGACGCAGCAGGAATGCATCGACACAATCGAGAAGCTCACAAACATGTGCCAGCGGCTCGAGCGCCAAGTGGCCGACGACGGCGACGCACGCCAAGCGCACGCACTCCAGCAACAGTACAAAGCCGCGGCGTTCCAAGCCGCCCTCGCACAAAGCCACTTGGAAGCTGAGGCGCGCGATGACGAGCTCGCGCACCTCCGACGCAGGGAAGAGCATCTCATGGAGGCACTCGCGGTCTCGAACGAACATGAAAGTCGTGCCAAGCAGCAAGTGCGCGAACTGGAGGCGCAGGTCGACGAGATCCACCAACTGCGGCGCGAGCATTTCCATTTGCACGCTGTGCTCGACACGCAAGAGCACAAGCTGCGCGTGCTGGAGCGCCAGCGTTAGAGGCGCCGTGGGTGTTGTGTACATTAGTAGTGTTAATCTATACCAACCACCGTAAACTTGCTACGCCGACGACGGGACGCACTCGGCCTTGTGCATGGCCTTCCACGCCTCTTTCTGGCACGTCTTGGAGCAGTAAAATGCGTTCAAGCAGCGCACGCAGCGCAGGAGCTTGGGCGGCGACTCGTGGCAGTTGTCACAGACCTTGCCTTTGGCGGCAGCGCGCCAAAACGCATCGTCGTTGACGTCGGCGTCGTCCGACATGTGAAACACGGTGTTCGACGTCGGCGCGTAGACGACCCACTTTTCAGTGTGCACCATCAAGTTGGACTGCGGCACCGAGAATGAGTCCATGACGGCGCCGAGCGTCTCTGTAAACGCCGTCGCCTTGTACTCGACCACGTGGTGCCGCACCGCGTGGTACCCGTGGGCCTCCATGTGCTCGCAGAGTTCTTGGCCGAGCCCAAACGCGCTCAGCCCACGCAAACGCTCTTCTTCGCCGGTGCACGGCGCCAAGCAAGCTGCGTCGCCCATTAAGATGAAATAGAGCACGTTGCTGGTGTCGGGCAGCGGCAGCGTCGCGGCCACATGGCCCATGGCATGCGGCCCGAGGTAGGCAAAGGCGGCGGTCGGCGCATCTGTCGCTTCGGACGAGAACGGCATTTCTACGTGCTTACAAGCATCTTCGAGGGCCGTTTGCAGCGTCGGGTACGGCGTCGAGACCGCGTCGAGCCAGCGCACGGATAGCTGCTCGGCGCACGAGGTGCCTGCGAGGTAGAGAAAGCGAAGGCAAGCGCCGGTGAGGCGGTCAACCTTGTTGCCAAACTCGCCCGAGCGCCACGCGTAGTCGTAGCGCATGCGCACGTCGGCGTCGAGTAGCTGCTGCCGCAGGACCGCGCGACGGTCGCCAGCTTCGGCCATGCGTTTGAAAATATAACCTCATGCGTGAGAAACGATACCCACTGGTGAAAAACGCTGATTGGTCATAAATACACCAATCGCGGAGACGATTGATTTGAGACTGAAGATGCCCCCTCACAGAAGGGCCATTCTTGTACAGTATTAGCTGGATGGCCCGTCGTATTATCACAATACCGGTAATCGAGCAGCTCCAGCGTGGCATACTATCACGGTGACTGGGTCAAAATGTGACTGGACGCAACGAATCCGGGGTTATGTACTAGGTGGTGGCTTACGGATGTGCAGTCGTTCGATTTCACCACATATCAGTAGACAACAAATTCGATTGCAGAGAGACCCGGTACCCACCGTCCATAAAAAGCCCCGAGGATTTGATTGCTCAGGGTGACAGCACAATTGGGAGCAGCAGTCGAAACGCACTCCGATCTTGAATCGCATGTTGTGATTGGCTTCTGTTTTGGCCAATCCAAAGTCCTCCCAGCCCACACGGTGAAAAACACAATGCTAAAAATAGGATCTGAGTTGCCGCTATGGCGTCATCCCAGCGCGTTCAGCGGCTTCGGCGGGCGATCGAGGACGAGCGCCAGCGCCAGAATGAGTGCAGCGTCTATTTGGGCGCCAGCAAGAGGCGACTCAACTCATGCAAGCAGTCGCCAACGACGCGGTCGGTGATTCGCGTGGCCTCGACGACCTCAATTGTCAGTCGACGGGGTCGGGCCTGCGCCGGTGAGTCCTGGCAGTCGTCGTACCAGCTCGAGCGTGGCGACTGGGACGCACCCGTTCGCGTGGACATTGCGTGCGTTCGCTCGGGTGGCAAAGAGCAGACGCGGCAGCGCATTGCGGCGGCGCGGATTGCCACGTGGTGCTGGCGCCAACATGTGCGGGCCAAGCTCCAGGCGCAAGCCTTTGGCACGATCGAGACGCTACCGAGTCAACTAGCCCAGCACAAGCTCCAGAAGCAGTCTCCGCGCGACGTGTTGCGGCGCATCCAGGCGGAAATTACTGCCAAAGCCACGTTCCGGATCCAATCACGCGCTGCGCGCGTCCTGCAGCGCTTTTTTTTCAAAGCGCTTTTGCACCTCGGGAAGAAGAGCCATGTTCTCATCGCCGAGGCATCGCGCAAGCAGCGCCAACTGAACGCTATGAAACGGGACCGCGCTGCGCGGTACATCCAGGCCATGTATCGCAACCGTCGGGCGCGGCAGCAACACGTATGATCTCACCGCCTTGGCGGACAAATGCGATCGACTACGTGTAGAGTGCGTGGAAGCTGAGTCGGAGCAAGGCCAACTACTGTCGCATCATGGTGCTCGAGGCCGAGTACAACACGCGGCCGTCGGCGGTCGAACTCTTGCAGCTCTCCAGAGCCTACGCCGAGTTGGCGTCACAGCCCGTGTACGCCGACGAGCAGCTCCTTCTAGTCCGCTGCAGTTTGCTCTTCGTCTCCAAAGCAATTGCGTACGATACGAATGCAAACATATGCAGCCTCATGCAACACTGCGCTGTAGCTTTGGCCACGTGCCCGAGAACCCACGTGACTTTTGGCCGGCGCTCGCCGCTCGGCTCGTGGACCTCTGGCAGCGTGGTGGACATATCGAGGTTCCGCTCTTGCAGCAAGCCGCCCACGCCTACGAGACTGGCCTCTCGTTAACACCGTCGGCTTCAGAGGTACCCCCTGTCCAGTAGGCACGACAAGACCCGCGTCTTTGTAGATGTGGCTCGCGTACATTGAAGTGCTTTTTGAGCTTGGACTCTACTGCCAAACGCTCAAAGCCTGTGATCAGTACGCCCGAACGTTCGAGCACGCAGCGGTCGAGGGTCCCCGGCGACGCCACCACGCGCGCCCTACGGCCATTTGGCGCTTCCAAGTGCAGTCTTACTACCACGTTGGTGACGTGGACGCGGCGCTTGGCCTCTTGGAGGACCAGCGACAAGAGTCCCCCCCGGTATACAGTCCCATGGAGCTTTTGCTGCTGCTGACGCGCTGCCACGACGTGGCCAAACCCACGCAGCCCAACCCGTACTACGACGAGCTGCTCCAGTCGCTCTACTCGGCCGACGACATTACTCGACACGAGCTCACGCCCGCGATGCTCGTGGCGACGCCAGGACTCTTTATGGACCTCGCGCTCACGTGCGCGGCGCGGCGCGATTTTCCTTGGGCCGTCGACCTCCTCGAGTGCAGCTTGCGCGGTGTTGAGCGACCATCGCACGACCACCTGCACGCGCTTGCACAGAGCTACTTTGGGGTTGGCAACCTCAAGAAATGTGCGCATGTGCTCCTCCGCGTCCGCGGGTCGGCGACGACGGCGTGGTTTGCACAGGTACAGCGCCACGCGACGCTGTTTGAGGCCCAGCACCGCATCAGCGTGCTCCATCTGAGACGGGAGCTCCACGTCGCCTTGTAGCGTATGTATTGCTGGCATATTATTTCCGTAAAATGTTGAAGGCGGCCACGTACTGGATCGCCGTGTGCTTGAGAGAGTACTGCGGCGGCAGTCCGACCTTGTCAAACAAGCCGAGCAGATTGACGATCGGCTTCTTGATCGAGTCGGCCGGATTCGCCGTCGGCGTCGTCTCGGTGCCGGTCGCGATCGTCAGGAGGAGCTCGTCGAGAAGCTTGTCCTGGCTCGCTTCGGCGAGCACCGAGCACGGTGTGTACTGGATCTCGACGACGAGCCCCGTCGGCGTGCTGCCGCGACACACAAACGTGCAAATGCCAATGGTAAAGTCGCCAAATGCGAATTGCATCCCCTACAAATGAATACCCTTAGGTCGCTCAAAGGACAGCGAATACGTCTACCTCAAACTTGCCGTACGACTTGGGCACGTAGATCTCGACTTGCTGGAGGATGTTGGAGCCTTCAAGGCCACACTCGAGGAGGCAGCACTCGTCGAGGGGGCCGTCCAAGCCGTTCTCGCTCGAGTCGACCTTCATCGAGAGCTCCGTCTTCTCGTTGCCGAGGACGGCGTAGATGAGGTCGTCGTTCTGGGACGTGCGCAGGAGGTACATGCGCTGGTTGGCATACCCGTCGACGAGCAGCTTGCGCGACAGCATCTGGGAGTGCACGACGTGGCGGTCGACCTTGCGTGCGCCCATCTCGTCCATCTTCTTGAGCAGGTTCTGGTACCGGACCGGGATGTTGCTGTCCGAGACGAGGTAGACCCTACATGCCATGAGCGCCAGGCCAGGCGTCGGCTGCCCACCGTGTCATGCCCGTCATCGTGCTCGCGCTCCTCGGACCTGCCGCGGCCTTAGCTTTATCCGGTTTGACCGGATACGGAAGGATTCCAGATGAGTTTTCGCGGTAAATTTCCCAGCATCTTCCCAGCAAGGAATTCAAGCAGCATCCCAGCAAGCTCTCCCAGCACGCCTAAGATCTGATCGAGGGAGCGTGTGAGGCTCGTCGAGGACAAAGCGTCAAAACGCTGCGCATCTGCATGTGGTTTTGGCGACAGCTCGCTGGCAGAGCTCTCGTCCGTCCTTGCACAGCTGGGTTTTAGACCGTTTGGCTCTTTGCTCATTAACTGGGTATGCAAAGCGCATCATGGAAACACAAAACTACACCTACAATTGTAGGACTATCTTACAGTGACTTGTGGACTTGAGCCCGTGAACCCAGCCTCTTGCCAAGCGCGTGGTCCATGCCTATATTGATGGACTGATGGGGACGATCGTGGTTGCGCACATCTCAAAGATCGACGACTGTTTCAGTGCAATTGGTGTTGACAGTCTCGGTTGCGGCTGCAGCCGGCAGCTTTCGCTTTCGACCGCGCTTCTTCGGGCCGGGTGGCAAGCCGAGAAACCCAGGATCGAGCTTGGTGAGGCATTCGACCGACCGCACATACATGTCTCTTGCCGCTTGAATCTGCGCTTCCTGCATCTTGGCGACGGCCCGCGACAGCTTCTTCTCGCTGGCATGGGCGACCACGTCCGTGGCGTGGAGAAGGGACTGGAGGGACCGGACGGCGATAGTTGGGTCGGCATCGATGGCCTCCTGAAGCGTGGGCAGCGCCTCTAGCTGACGTTGCGTGGGCGTTGGCACAGACGTGCAGCTGTCGAGGTGCATGCTCGTGAACGTCGAGACGTACCAAACGTTAGGCGCCGGCTTCCGCTGGTAGAGCTGTACGCGAAACGAGCAGCCGTCGCTAGTGCACAACACGAGCTTGTGACCACCGCCGCTGCGCGCGACCTTGACGCTCTTCTTCTGCGCGAGCGCATAGTCCTGTACGTACTGCAGGGCCGCGCGGCCGTCCGGGAACTCGAGGTCTTTGCGCAGCGGCTCCATGCTGCCTGGCACCGTATCCGGTACATGTCCGCATAATCCTGTGTATGTCAAGGACGCCATCATCGACTTTAGGAGGTCTCCAAATTTCCCGTAAATTGCGCCTAAATACCCGAAATGTCCTGGTCTGTTTTCGATTGTACTTGTACAATTTATAGAATCGATCAAGCACCGATCCCTCGTTGTCGGTTTTACCGTTTTTCGAGTCGATGTGTTTGAATAGTGCACCTGTTGCATGCGACGCAGGTGCGTTTGGTTTTACTTGACGTTTGTATGGAACGGGAACGAGAGGCTGGTCCGTGTTCTCGACAGAGTGATTGTGGGTGCACGCCTTGCGTCCAATCCAAATGCCTTCACCACATTCAAGCCAATCACATGCGTCAGAATGGGATCATTTTAGCCAATCCTAGTACGTGCTAGAAGATCGCGACGGGCTCATCCTGCGACTTCGCCAGAACCCAATTGGCAGCGGAAGAATGAAGTGGCTCTGGAGCATGGCAGCCCTTGCGGCGTCAGCCGTGCGCGGCGACAGCTCGTGGAGCTTGCAGATGGACGAGGCGAACCTCACGTTCCACGGCAGCCTCCAAGACGCCCCGGTCGCCGACAGCTTTTGCGACTCGACCAAGCAGCTCAGCGGCTACTTCAAGATCGACGGCTCCAAGAGCAAGAACTACTTTTACTGGTTCTTCGAGTCGCGCGATGCGCCCAAGGACGACCCGGTCATCATTTGGCTCACGGGCGGCCCCGGCTGCAGCTCGATGCTCGCGCTCCTCGGCGAGAACGGGCCGTGCTCGGTCAACGACGACCTCTCGCTCAAGCGCAACCCGTACTCGTGGAACGCCAAGGCGAACATCATGTGGATCGACCAGCCCGCGGGCGTCGGCTTTAGCTACGGCGACAAGAGCGAGTACGACACGGACGAGTCCATGGTCGGCAACGACATGTACCACTTTCTCCAAGCCTTCTTCGCCGCGCACCCCGAGTACGCCTCGAACGCGTTCTACGTCTTTGGCGAGAGTTACGCAGGCCATTATGTCCCAGCAGTCGCTCATCGTATCTACAGCGGCAACAAGGAAGGCTCGTCGCCCAAGATCAACCTCAAGGGCATTGGCATCGGGAACGGTCTCACGTCGCCCGAGGTTCAGTACCAGTACTACCCGGAAATGGCCTACCACAACACGTACGGCGTCAAGGCCGTGCCCGAGGCCGTGTACCAGACGATGAAGGCGGCTGTGCCCAAGTGCACGCAGCTCATCGACCTCTGCCAAAAGATGAAGGTCGCGTGCTTGGTCGCGCAGGTGTTTTGCAACGCTGCGCTCGTCTCGCCGTACCAGCTCTCGGGCTTGAACGTCTACGACATTCGCGAAAAGTGCGCGCACTTTCCCATGTGCTACGACTTTGGCGCGATCGAGAAATTTTTGAATCTGCCATCGACGCGCCAAGCGCTGCATGTGAGCGAGAAGAGCGCCAAGTGGGCGTCCTGCAACATGGAGGTCCACGCGGGCTTTTCGTTTGACTGGATGCGCAACTTTGACCAGCTTGTGACGCCGATGGTCGAAGACCACATCGACGTGCTCGTGTACGCGGGCGACGCGGACTTCATCGTCAACTGGATGGGCTGCAAGGCGTGGACGGTCGCGCTCGACTGGAAGTACAAGACGCAGTTTGCCGGCCAAGAGGACGTCGACTGGGTCGTCGACGGCCAGAAAGCCGGGAAGGTCCGCAGCGTCCAAGGCCTCACGTTCCTTCAGGTGTTCAACGCCGGCCACATGGTGCCGATGAACCAGCCGGCCAACTCGCTGGCGATGCTGGAAGAGTTCATCAAGGACGGCAAGCCGACCTTTGCGCAGCACCACGAAAAGAAGACAAAGGCGCACCACTTGCACGCCAAGACGGACGCCGAAATGGATTTCCTCTATCACCATTGAGCCCGAGTAGATCCTCGTCGGGTTAATCATAATGCAAGCCGCCCGTGGATGGCTCAGAGCGTCACACTTGAGCAAAATGGCGTCGTGAGTATCATCATGCATCGGAGAGAGACTCGAGCTCCGACATGGCGATGGTCGCAGGAGATGTACCTGCGGTCATGACCATCGTGATACGGTCGCCGTCGCGAACTTCGGTCCACTTGGAGCCGAGTCGCATGTAAAACGACGTAAAACCTTGGTGATTGGCTTTTCCCTACACGAACCATACAAGCATTTTGCAACGAAAGATTGCAGCGTACCGTCTGCACGAGCAGTTGGCGGTAAATGTGGTAGTGCAGAATCTCCTGGACCTGCCCGCGCGAGTGTCCGTGCTCCTTGGCGCAACCACTACCGGGAATGTTGTTCGCCCCACCCCGCTTCTTCTTGGGCAGCTGCCGACCCATGGCCAGGTTGACCATGTCCGTGAGCGTCAAAGCAACGTTCTTTTGCGTGCAGTATTGCACTAGCGCACCAACGACGCATGAGTGCGCTCAGGAAAGACGAGGTAGCGTACACATGGCCCAAAGCGCTCTTGACACCGCCGAGACGTCGACGACCACTGCCGCGTTTGGGGACGGATCGATCTTCTCGAGGCAGTTGTCGCAGGTGCCTAGGCAGTCGTCTTCGTCGAACGTCTCCCCAAAGTGCTTGAGCAGCATCGTCCGACGGCATGTTGTCTAGTCCCCGCATTATCGATCTCAAGCCACAGGGAGAGACATGGAGGATAACCTTGTTCTCGCATAGCTCCATCATCTCGCGCACGTTGAGGGTGTGGATTTGACGGCTCTGCCCGGTACCGTCGCGAAGTAGTTGTTTTCGCCGTGTCTAGAATTGAGTCAGCATGGCGGAATAGGACCAACACGCGAAGGTACAAAGTCTTCGTAAGCGTAGTAGACGATGCACTCGGCCGGTAGCCCGTCCCGGCCAGCGCGCCCCGACTCCTACTCATACCCCACGCATAAGTTCGTGAAGTAGCGTATGGTACCTACTTGGTAGTAGTGTGTGATGGACTGGGGCAGGCTGTGGTGAATCACGTAGCGCACGTCAGGTTTGTTGATGCCCATGCCGAAAGCCACAGTTGCAATCATGAGCTTGATGTCGCCGCGACTCCAAGCGCGGTGGCGGTACGTCTTCTCGCTCGTCGAAAGCGCTGCGTGGTAGAACGAAATGGACCCAATTGCGCCGAGCTCCGTGGCCAACTCCTCGCAATCTTTTTGCGTCAAGCTACAACACCCATCATTCGCTACGCCTCCCGAGTACCAAGATGTACCAGTAAATGATGCCGCTTTCTTCAGCATGGGTTGCCACAAACGCTCGCAGCTCTTGAAGAAACTCCTCCGACTTGACGACAAAGGCGTACGACAAGTTGGTGCTGCACAGTATTGTTTTGAGAATTGCGAAAATAAATTCAAGCTCCGCAACATACCGGTTGTAGCTGCTTCGCTGAATCCATGGCGCCGTCAAGTGGAGTGAGTCGATGATTTGCGTCTCAGTCTTGGCGCTCGCCGTCGCCGTTAACGCCATAATCGGGACCTAGGCACCGTTGTGCTCTAGAATGCAATGACATAGAGACGATACACTTGAGTAGCTTGCACGCAGATGTCCAAGCGCAAGGTAATCTTTTCGAAAGTCGTGACCCCACTGGTTGATGCAGTGGGCCTCGTCAATCACAAATCGCGCGAGCATGCCCGCGTCCGCGCTGAGCCGGAGCGCGCGCTTGAGGTTGGTCGAGCTCGCAATTGCCTCGGGCGTGACGTAGAGAAGCTTGAGCGTACACGAGGTCGACGCAATCTCGTCGAGTGTTGCGCCTTTGATCGAGGCCGACACGGCGCTTGTGAGCATCTTGGCGTGGATGCCAAGCTTCTCAAGGTGGTGGATCTGGTCTTCGATGAGCGAGAGAAGAGGCGAGACGACGACGGTCACTCCAGCGTCCAAGCACGCGGGCAGTTGGTAGCAAAGGCTCTTCCCGGCCCCCGTTGGCATGAGGACAAACACGTCCCGACCTCGACCTGCCTCCTACGCTTCCAGCTCTGTCGCATCATGTCCATACACATGAGTGCTGTACATGGATGGTCTCCAGTTGGCCTGGTCGGAAGGCGTCGTTCCCAAAGATATGCTGGAGCACGTGCAGGAGGGCCGCGTCCGTGTACCCAGCCCAGGCGCGGGGCGGTCGGACGTCCATCTTGGATCGAACGTTGCGGTCCTGGCGCTCTAAGTCGATATCTCCTGCGCGCTTCCATCGCGCCGTCGATGGGCCCTTGGTCGACCCGATGCTTCGAGGGACGCTGAAGGTCGACCTTGCCGGAGGCGCATGCACCGTCGGCTTGCTGAGGCTTATTGCCTGCGGAGGAGTCTCCTCTTCCTCGAGGGTAGGCAGACGCATGCTCGTCGCCTTGTCCACGGGCTCGGGAGCGCCTCCGAGGAGCGTGTGCTTGGCGACGAAGCGCGTCCGAGCCGTCGCCCACGCCCGTCGGTCCATCGTCGGCGCGCGAAAATCTGGAAATGCTCCCATTGGCCAAAACACACGTGCATTGCGATTGGTTGAAAAACGATCTTTACGCATTTACTGCAGGACAACTACACAGTCGGGATCGGTTCGGGCTCGGTCTCGACGGGGGACTCCTCAATGATAGCGTCCGCAGCGACCACTTCGTCGCTTGCCGATGGTTCTGTGGGTGGAAAGCAGCGCATGAGCACGATCGAGCAAGCATGCGCTTGCACTTGGGAGCCTTTGGGCTTGAGTTCTTCGAGCACGAGCTGGAGCTCCTCGGACATGCGGAGTACGTCGCGGAGGTGGTCCCGTTCGCAGAGGTGCATGAGGGTCACGGCAATGTACTGTTTTTGCATCGCAGAGCCATGACCGAGCGCTTTTTCAATGAGCTCGGCGTGGTGGGCCTCGAGCGACTCCTCAATGGCGGCCCAGACGCCGTCCGAGCCGCCGTCGGGTTGCAGCACGAGCGCTGGCGCAATGAACGAGAGCGCGCCCGCTGCATAGTCTTTTTGTAATTCGTCCATTTTCTCGTGGCAAAGCACGTGGATAAGGGCAACCCATCCGTTGGCGAGCGCAAACTTGATGGCGTATTTCGAGCGCTGGACGATGCCAAAGATCTTCTCGAGCGCATCAAACACGTCGTCGTACACGTCCGTGTACAGCGTTGCAACAAGGTCTTCAAAGTTGGTCGTCATCGTTTCCGAGAGACTCACCTTGCGGTTCACGCTTGCATCCGCGCCCGCGGCGTCATCGCTTGGAATCGGCTGGAGCGATCGCGACGCCGGCATCTCGCTCTGGCGTCGCTTGATCGCGTCACTGAGATTAGACGATACCGCAATGGGCACACTCGTGCGACGGTTGGTGGCGTCTTCTGGGTCCAAAGTTGGCGCATAGAGGTCCGGGTTGAAGCCCTGGAACTTGACAAAGTTGCCATTATTGCTCGCGGCGACGTAAATGGGGAGGACGTTCAATCGCCCGGCCGTCGCAATCTCGAGGGCCACTTCATACTCGAGCAAGAGGTTGTCCTCATGGTGGTTTTGCGTCCGGTCCCGCGCTTTCTCGAGGCCCGCTTCCGAGACGAGCGCTACAAAGAGGTGCGAGTGGCCGAGGCCCCGTAAGAACCCGTCCTTCCATGGCTCAGCGTTCTTGAGCGACATACGATCCAGGAACGGTTCGTAGCCTTTCGTTTTCAGGTGCAAGTAGAGCTTTTCGGCCACCTCTTTTTCACTTGCGACGCGGTAGCTAATGAAACAATCGTACTCGTCCTGGGCCGACACGGGCTTGACGAGTGGCACGATCTTGGCAACGACCGACGCGAGATCGTCAGGATCAATGAGGTGGATGCCTTGGTACGCAAAGAGCTGCGAGAGCACTTGAGCCGGGGCGAGAGACGGTGTACTCCGGTGTACCAAGATGCGCCCGTCGTTCATATCGAGCGACGAGGATGAGGACGCAGTCGGCACCGTCTTGATTTTGGACAAGTGCAAGAGCAAAATCTTGCGGTGCAGCGCACTCGAGACGCCGAGGTCCACGAGGAGGTTGTCGAGGTCCGTGTCCGAGAGACGCTGGAGGATTGCACCGTCGACGCCGTTGCGCGTAAAGAGCGGCGCGTACTCGTGGTAGGCCTCGCCGAGCCGCTCGACTTCGGCGGCCACGTCGGCGGCGCTGAGCCCCTGAATCGATGCCCCGGCCCCCATGGCGCGGAAAGAGATTGTTGCCGGTTTTCCAACGCCCACTTAATTTTAGCGCCATTTTCGTGTATTTATATATGCATGCCTCTAAATTTACCAACGCAGACAATACCGTAGACTTGTTGGACGCCGCGTATACGGCTGCGTTGCGCAATCGTCTGGACTGCTCGCAGCGTCTTCTCATGTAGGATGCACGCGGCCAGTTGATCTCGCGCGAGGTGGACGTGGCAGCTTCCTCAAGGATGTGACTCGAAGGATCCAACGGCAAGCTTTGTATCCGTGGGGCGAAACAACAGCAGCGGCCGTCACAAGGCTGGAGCTTCCATGCCTAGCCGATCTCGATGAGATTGGAATCCAACGTGAGCCGTTGCCGTGTTGGTGGGATATATATTATAGTTATAGAGCTAGACCTGTAGCAAGCTCGCAAACGTGTCGTCGTCATTGTCGTCGAGGAGGCTGGGACTCGCATCATCGAGAGGAAAGTGTTTGTCAAAATGCTCAAAGAAGGAATCCGCCGAGTCGTCCGTGATGCTCTGTGGAGCCACTGTCGCTGGCGAAGAGTCTTTCGAATCAGTCTGCGTCTCGGCATCCACCTTCAAGCGAACCACCGACGTCGACGCGGCGCGCTTGAAGGAGCGGCGGAGCATGGTCTTGAGCAAGGTTGCGCGTGCGGTCATTGTGTGTGCAGGAATGGAAATGACGTGCAAAGGGACTCGTTATCGCGTAAAATCAATTCTCTCGTCCCGCTTTTCCCGTTGCCTTTGTCATCTTAACCTTCATCTTCGTACCATTCTACTGCTGTGTATGCTCAACTTGAGCTGTGTGTGGCGTTTGGCGATCTTCCACTGCACGCTGGTTGGCCGAATCATCCTGCGATGGGATTGGCCAAAACTCTCATAATTCATCCACCATCGCGGGACGCAAGCTCATGACGTCGCTGCGCCTGATCGACATCGGCGCCAACCTCACGGACCCCATGTTCGTGGGCAACTACCGCGGGAAGCAGAAGCATGAGGTTCCTTCCATGTGCTCTCAAGGAGACGACGCTCATGGTGCTCGGTGCTAGAGCGACTTGCGCCAAGTCCTCGACCGCGCCTTCGCCAACCACGTCGAGAAGATCATCGTCACAGGCGGGTCGCTCTCCGAGAGCAAGGAAGCGCTGCGCCTCGCGCGCACACACGAGAAGCTCCACTGCACCGTTGGGGTAGGTGCTGTGGCAACACTCGCCTCTCACAAAACGATCTCTCCAGGTGCACCCGACGCGCTGCAGCGAGTTCCTCGCGGACCCGGACGCCTACATGGCCGAGCTCACGCAGGTCTGTCGCGACGGCATGAGCGACAAGAAGGTCGTAGCCGTCGGCGAGTTTGGCCTCGACTATGACCGGCTCGAGTTTTGCCCCAAGGACGTCCAGCAAACATACTTTACGCGGCAATTTGAGCTCGCGCGCGCGACCAAGCTGCCGCTCTTTCTCCACAATCGCAACACGGGCTCGGACTTTACTGGTACGATCTCCTTGCGATTCTCTTACCTAGTATCGGCGACAAAGCTACCATGGCGTAGACATGATTCGCCGCCATCGCGATGACTTTACTGACGGCGTCGTGCACTCGTTCACGGGCTCGAAAGAGGAGGCGCAGGCGCTTCTGGACCTTGGTCTCTACATCGGTATCAACGGCTGCTCGCTCAAGACGGCCGAGAACCTCGACGTTGTCAAGATGATCCCGTCCGACCAGCTCATGCTCGAGACAGGTGCGCGCTTCTTTCCTCCTCACGTCGCCTCCAGGCTACTGTGATAGATGCACCGTGGTGCGACATTCGACCGACGCACGCCGGCTACAGCCACGTGCAGACGACGTTTCCGACCAAAAAGATGGAGAAATTCGTCCTCGGCGAGTGCGTCAAGGGCCGCAATGAGCCGTGCACCATGCTGTACGTCCCAGCTCTATGTCCTAGGATGTACTAATTCTCATCGCTGTGCAGGCAAGTCCTCGAGGTTGTCAGTGGTGTCCGCGGCGACGACATCCATGAGCTGGCCGCGACCGTCTACGACAACACCCAGCGCGTGTTCTTTCGATCTTAGCGTCCTTCACCGTGCTGGCCGTCAACTATCTGGTGGATCGGACCACGCCATCTTGAGAAACAGAGTCATTTGGCCAAAAACTTTGGTCGAGAGTTGGCGCTGGTTCATTGTTGTGGCGTTGGTGCAGAGATGAAAGGCTAAGGAGCACCAAGTCGATGCTTGCATACCCAGCGTGGACATCGGCGAGCGCACTGCGCGCGTCTCAAAGGGGTCCATGAGCGTCTAGACCATCTGCACGCAGCTCGCGAGATTGCTCCAAGAGTCGGTGTAGTTGACGAGTGCGACAAACGCCGGCGAACCCGCGACAAGATGCTCCAGCTCTCGGTTCTGCGCGGCAACGTGCATGCTCCTTTGCATTGCGCTTTCGTTGAAAGGTAGATATGAATGATGTGAAGAAAAATCGTATTTTGACTTGTTTTGGGTGAACAGTGACAGAGTTCATAAGCATAGCAAGGCGGATTTGAACCTTCGAGACGAGTGAGCTTGGCGCAGTCGCGGCGCAATATGGAGACAGCTGCCGATGGTCAACCATGTCCAAATCGTGGTGCTGGAGTTGGCTGAAAGAACGATTTTGGCAAAGTGCTGGTAGGATGCACATTCGACCGGCAACTACCACGTGCAGATGACGTTTCCAACGAAAAATGGAGAAATTTGTCCTCGGCGAGTGCGTCCAAGGTCACAAGAAACCGTGTCATTTCAAAGTACTAACAGCGAATCGATCGACAGGCAAGTAGCTGAAGATGAGTAGTCCGCGGCGATTCCGTAACGAATCTACGACACCACTAATGTGTGATTCTAAGCGATTTAAACAGAGCTAGACATAGGCGCCGACGATCTCGTCGACGTTGAAGCCGCAGTCGTTGCCGGTGGATACAATGGTCGGCATGAGCGCCGGGTCGCTCGGGCCCGTGGGTACCTTCCACACGTTGACCAAGTCGTGGTTGCTCAGATCAAACGTCATGCCTGCGAGGAGACTCAAGTCGGCGTTCGGGTCGTACTCGTCAGTCGGAATGTTCATGCCCCAGTCCTTCCCGAGCGTGTTGAGGTGCGCCTCGAGCGCGGCTTCGTCCAAGTGATACGTCGGGTCTTCTTCGAACGCCGCCGCGGCCGCTTCGCACTGCGCGAGAATGTTGTCGGCTTGCGCGAGCACCGACGCCGCGCTGCTGCCGTCGTGGCCGGCCATCGGGTTGGTGAGTGCTTCCCGGGCCTCGTAGATCGACTTGAGCCGTGTGCACGTGGTTGCATAGTCGGTTGCGAGCTTGGTGCGCGGCGCCTCGAGCGCGGTGAGCGCATCCCACGCATCGTACTTGCTGTGGTCGGTCGAGACGGGCTGCATCTCGAGGAGCAAGACGCCGAGTTCGACGAGCTCGCCGTTTGGAAGCACCGAGAGCCAGCTGCGCGGCTCGACGCCAGACGTGAGAAACGTCCGCACATTGTAGACGCCTTCGCCCGTCCAGAGTTCGTGGAGGCCTTGGCCGAGCATACGCGCTTGGTGCTCCGACTTGCGCCGACGGCCCCAGAGCGTCAACGCCGTGCGCAGAATCGTCTGAAACTGGTGCCGCTGCAGCCCGCGCTTGTGGTACCGCGGGTGACAAAAGTACGCGAGGAGCCCGAGGCCATCGCCAATCTGGTTGATCTCCGACCACGCATTGTTGAGAAACGGCGTCATTTGGCCAAACACCTTGGTCGAGAGCTTGCGCTGGTTCATCGTCGTCGCGTTCGTGCAGAGGCTAAGGAGCACCGCGTTGATGCTTGCGTAGCCAGCGTACACATCGGCGAGCGTCACGTCGTGCGTCTCGAAGAGGTCCATGAGCGTCTTGATCGGGCGCAGCACCTGGACGAGGCTCGCGAGGTTGCTCCAAAAGTCGGCGTGGTTGACAAATGCGACCAAGGTTGGCGACGGCGCATACGACGTGCCGGCGCGGAAGGCTTTGATAAGAGTGTTTTTGATGCCGGTTTCGTTGACGTGCAGTGACGCCAGCGACAAGATGCAGTCGCTCCAGCTCTCGGCGCTGAGCGGCACGAGGCGGCAGCGGGGCACGTTCATCTGGAGCGCGCTTTCGTTGAGTAGGTGCATGGCCTCGTGCGACGACTCAAAGTACGCCAGCAGCGGGCCCGCGACCTGGAAGACATTGGTGAGGTCCGGGATCTTGAGCCATTCGTGCACGAGGTTGCTCGTGATCTGCGCCATGCAGCGCAGCGGCACGATCCACGGGTAGCTCTTCGCAATGTCGTGCGCAGCCGTGACGAGGTCGTGGTCGTTGTCGGTGCAGAGGCCAATGAAGCGCTCCGGTGAGATCTCGTTGATCGCCGACATGAGCAGCGACGTGGGCAAGGACGCGTCGGTCTGCTCGCTCGGGTACGCGACCATGTTCCAAATGACTTCGACGCGGCTCTGGTTGGAGAAGACGACGCGCAGCACGCGCTGGTTGCCAACGTCCAAGAACGACGAAGGCGTGAGCGTGATACGGTTGAAGCCGTGGTGCACAAGCTCCTTGAGCTTGCTCGCTTCGGTCGCATACTGCTGCACAATCATGTTGCGCACGTCGTCGCTCGTCGACGGCTTGTACGCAGGGGAGATGCCCCGCAGCCACTCGCGAAAGTGCTTGTTCTCGATCGTCGCCGGCGGCAACTCGTTGCACACAAAGGCCTTGACCATGAGCACTTTCTCCGACTGGCCCGAGACGGCGATTGGCATCTTGTGCTTGAGGAGGTTCTTGGACGCTGCGTCGCGCAGGAGGAGCATCGAGCCCGTCATTGGCGACGAGAGCATCCCGCCGTCCGCGCTACCATCGCCGTCCTTGTCGCGCTTCCGGCGCTTGATCGGAGGGCCAATCTGCTCGGCGACAAGGCCGAGGCTGCGGATCTTGACCGGCATGTCGCCCGGGCAGTCGGTCGCAATGTGCGACTTCATTTGCGCCAAATCGGCGTACTTCCACGAGCGCGTGCAGTAATTGCACTTGGCCGCACGCACGCGGCTGATGCCATGGCGCTCGCCCCGCGTAAAGTGCTCCCAGACCGGGTCCGACCGCGGCCCCGACCGGCCATCGCTGCCCGAGTGGTCCATTGGCCCGTACACGGAAAAATCGTACAATACACCGCTAGTACTGACGCCACCCGTTCACGTCGTCTTCTTTTTATTGTATTACATACAAACACCAGGATACTATTTTATTTTAGAATGCCGTACATTCTCTCCCGGAAACGCCAGTACGGCCATGCGTACATTTGAACGAAAATTTTCAAACTTCCCGCTCGACTAAACGACTATGAAAACGACTACAGGACCGGCTTTAGCGCAGACCTTAGTCGTATCGACACAGTCGTCGCTCAATACGATGGAGGTGGTCCTGGAATGTCGTCCAGCTGCACTGAAGAAGAGCATTTAGAAGGGGTATGGCCGAGTACACAGCGCCGTCTTGCTGCGCCACGTGCAGCGGCGGCGTGAGCACGAGCTCCAGGGACGTCGCATCGACCGCGGTGCACGCAGCGAGGTGGCGAAAGAGCAGAATGTGGTGGCGTGGGCGTAGCCACACCATTTGATCCAGCGTCAAAATTGCCAAAACACTTGGCAGCGCAAAGGTGGCGGCGGCGACAACCACCGCAGTTGCATCCACGCGTGTGGCCTTAATCGAGAGGCTTGGCGCCGCCTTTTCGCGCCGGTGCCAGCAAATGCGGTAGAGGTACCGCCCGATGCCGCCACGCCAGCGCACTTCCGAAGGCATGAGGATCGTCGGCAGCTGGTGCCGCGATGGTCGGAGCAGTCCTTGCTTGAGGTCCAGTACATTCGACGTGCTGTAGACGTACTCGGTCAACGCTGGTAGTCGCCGCGCGCGATAGATGAAGGTGACGGCGGTCACGTGGTGCACAACAACGCTGCGCATTTGTTGAATCGTGATCGTGACGCGCCACGATAGCCATGATATCTCGACCGACGCGCCATGAGTATTGAGACGCGCGCAACGCCCGTGGTCGTCCTCGATCAACATGGCATCGAGTTCGCGGCGGGCCGCCGTCACAGCCGCCGCGCGCGACTGGAGCTGGAGCTTCAAGCACATACGGGCGTGCTTGAGTCGGTCCGACGCGAGCTTTTGGTCCCACGCCCGCCACGCCGCCATCACGGCGCGCATGAGCTCGTCTTCGCGCGCCATGTCGGCCGCCTCACGCGCCTCGAGCTGCGCTTGTAGCGCTTGGCGTAGAAGAAGCGCGCGGGTGCCGCGGGTCACATCTCGCTGCCGCTCCAAGTGCTCGGTACGAGCGCGGCGCCGGGCCAGATGTCGCTCGTTGCGCTGCAAGTGACGCCACTCCTGCAGCGCCATGTTTGCCACAAGCGCTTCTTGCAGCTGCCAGAAGGTCGCCCGGGCCTTGGCGCGCACAGAACGATGGCGCGCCGCACGGACCTCTGCGAGAGACGCAATGTCTTGAATCACACACGTCCACCGAAGAAGGCTCTGGCTCGCTAATTCCTTTGCATGAGAACAACCAAGGTGTCGAGGCGGTAGCTACCGGCGGGCGGGTGCAGCAGTACATCGTGGGCAGCGTCGATGGCCGCGGCATCAGCACTCGACGTCAAGAAGAGATGTCCCGCGGCCACCTGCACGGGCTTGAGGTGTCCAAAGAGCTGATGCACCGAGAGGGTACAGAGCGTCCGCCGCAGCTGCGCGGCCAAGATGTCGGCGACGCGCAGCCGCGTCATTGTCCCTCGCCAGACTCGCTACACCAACGTCAAGCTGTGTACTGCACTACTAGTACAAAGAAAGGTACTACCTGAAGCCGCGTTGCCATGAGCTCCTCGCGCACTCTCTGGGCGTGGGCGGCCGCGTGCTCCTGCAGTAGCGCGTGGAGTTGGTCCGCCAGCGATTTTTTCGCAGCCATGTCGCGGACATGGGCAAACCGGCGCCGGTACGCGCGCTGAATGCGGATCGCATGAAACGTCAGCACCTTGACATGCATGTCGTGGGCCTTGCGCAGGGCCACGTGGTGCTATCATAGCAATCGCTGCCACACGTGCAGAGCAGGGAGGCCGTACCTGCCACAGCTGCAGCCCCGACGCGAGCTTGATGCGGCGCCAGCGCAGCGACAGCTTTCGAAAGCTAAATTCGAGCATGTAGAGCTGACGTGAGAGCCGCAGCGCCGCATCTACCTACTGCATGCTGCCAACAAACCCATTCGCCAGAGTCGTGTACCTTGGCACTTTCAAAGATGGTGGCCGTGTCAACATGAGCGGCGTCGTCGAGGCGAAGGAGGCTCGGCTGCAAGTGGCGATGCAGGCTCTCTGCGAGCTGCACTTGGTACAGCGCATTGCGCGGCGCGGCGTGGGCTTGGTTGACGCTCCATATCTGCTCGTGCCGAAGCTTCCCCGAGAGCTCGTCCCGCAGCCGGCGCACAATCGACTTGGCTGCCTTGGGCTGCTTGGACCCCCGGCTCTTGGCGTTGGTCATGCCAGCAGTTTCAACTCATCATGCAACGTCCTCGTTGAGCATCTCGCCAGTCCTGAGTTCCTAGTGAGTGGAGGCTCATGATCCTCGACAGAGGCATCATAGCGATCGAGTCCCCCAACCGACTGAAAGTCGCTGTAGTCGATCCTAGACTAATACACGAAGAGAAACAAGGTGGAGTGTATTTGCGGCGGCAATATTCTAGTACGACACGAAACGACTTAGTTGATGACGACAGACCACGGGTGCGGCTTGCGACCATACTGGATGTCGGTCATCTCCTTCCAGATGCGCTTGGTGAGCTGGCCGCTCTTGCCGTCTTCGGCGTCGAGCGGCACGTCAATGTCCTCGCCGTTGTAGTTGATGAGCTTGACAGGCGAGATGACCGCGGCCGTGCCCGAGCCAAAGATCTCGAGGAGGCGCCCTTCTTTTTGCGCCTTGACGATCGACGGCATCGTGATCGTGTGCTCCGAGACCTTGAACTCGCCCCAGCCGCGCGTGAGCTCGAGGATCGAGTCACGCGTGACACCCGGGAGAATGTCGCCACGGTGCAGCGGCGCCGTCACGAGCTCCTTCTCGCCGGCGTCGTTGATCCAGTAGACAAAGAGGTTCATCGTGCCGACTTCAGTCACAAAGTGCTCCTCGCCAAAGAGCCACAGAATCTGCGAGTAGCCCTTCTTGTTGGCCTCCATCTGCGGCATGATCGTCGCGCCATAGTTGCTATGCACATCATGAAATTGCGCAATCAGGTAAAATAATCGTCGTACCCGCCAACCTTGGTGTTGCCGGTACCGCCGGGCCACGCGCGGACGTACGTGTCGTCGGCAAAGAGCTTGACGGGGTTGAAGCCTTCGGGGTAGTACGGCCCGACCGGCGACAGGATCACAAACACCTTGGCCTTGGTCGACGCACCGACGCCAATGTGGGGCTAATACAAAGAGCATATGTGAGAAGGACCATAGGCCATTGCGCATACGTGGGTGCTAATGCCGGTCGGGCGCAGGTAGAGCGAGTAGCCGTCGCCCTTGGGGATCCAGTCCTTGTCGAGCAAGACGAGCTGCTCGATGCACTTGATGAGCTCCTCCGAGTCGAACGTCTGCATAAAAGCTGCATGAGGAGCCATCCACGGAAGTTATTATGGTCCTGTACCGGCAGGAAGAGACGCTCCATCGAGTTGTTCATGCGGGCCATGTTCATGTCGGGGCGGAAGAGACGGATCTTGCCATCGTCGTTGATGTACGCCTTCATGCCTTCAAAGCACTAGCCGCACTGTCGTGAGCGACAAACCGCATCACGTGCAAGTCTACCTGCAGCGCGTAGTGCAACGAGCTGCTCGCCGGGTCCACGCTGAGCGGGCCATACGGGCTACGGACCATGCATGAGCCGCCTGGCTTCGCCACTCGAAGCGACGACATACCGGATCAAGGGCTTGCCCCAGCCCGTCTTCTGGTCCCAATCGATCTCGAGCATGTGGTCCGTGAACGTCGTGCCAAACGTCAGCGTCTCCTTGGCCACCTTGGCCTACGCAGGTACATGCATTCATGAGCATTGATGCCATCATCTTCATCCTTGTCGAAGCCATGTACCTTGGGATGCATCGTCTTGTGGATGATCGTCTTAGTGGACTAAAGAGAGATTGCATGTTCGCTGAGCCATTTTCCATCTTCATGGCGCATGTACGTACGTCGAGGCCGGCGAGGGCGGAGAAGGCCTTCGTGGCCTGGCCAGCGCGAAGCGACGCGTGGAGGTGGCGGGCGACGAACATGACTTGTCGGTGGCAGATTCGAGAATGATGAAACACCCGCGCACCACAGGCGTGGTGCAATATTAAAAGAGAGAGGTTTTGGATCTCCCTGGATGTGATTGGCCGAAACCTTGAAGTGTGGGTTGCAGTTCGGGACGCGGTGCATTTGATTCGCTACGGCGCGACCACCTGCCATGTGATTGGTCAAAATCAGCTGTCGCGACTCTCAAAATCCTTGGGCGAACCCACTGTGGGACTTGATATCCGATCCTCCTCGGCGCCGCATACGACTCGGAAGAGTTTGCTTGACCAAGGTCCTGCCAATCGGTCGCACCGAGAGAGAAGAGCAGCTGCTCTCCTGAAGAGAATACACTGCGACCTCGCTATATGAATACCTTGGGTCGCGATGTGTCCACCGCGCGGCTTCAACTGCAAGCCGTGCGCGATATGTGACAAACGCGCGACCGATCCAGCGTTTGGCACTTGTTGATGCAATTTTAAAAAACACTGGAAGCTGGGAACAGTGCCGAATGCTGCCCACACGGCACCACGAGGCGGCGACATCGCGTTGCCACCGACCTCGCTGATGCGCAATCGGGTCCAAGGAGCTGGTCGAAGGTACTTGCGGCGTGCAGCCGCAGCCCCTCACCACAAGAATTGGGGCAAATCTGAGATTCCGTCGCGCGGTTGGCACGGTATTTTGGCCGCCCATGCGGAGCCGCCCGTGGGACCGTCAGCAATGGCGTCAGTGGCACAAAGCCTCGATGACGACACCCAGGCAGCTCAGACAGGCGCACAGTATACACCACGCGTCTGCGTGGCCTTTTTAGATAGCCATTTAGATAACATAATATCGAGCAGTATAGTTAACACGACCGCCCAGGATGACAGGATTTGGCAAAGATCGCGATGGAAACGGCGTGGCGGAACGCTGAATGCGTCACGTCGCTCTACGACTGCCTTCGCGACCTCGAGCTACGCAACGCCGAGCTCGAGGCCGAGGTGCTGCAGTGGCGCGAGACGAGCAAGGCGGCGCGGACGTCGGATGCGACGGCCAGCGTCGACCTCTCCCGCGTGCTGCGCGAGCGCGACGAGTGGCGAGAGCGCTGCGAGGCGCTAGAAAATACATCCCGCCGCCTCGAGTCCAAGCTCTCGACAATATGCAAGGAGCATGCCGAGCAGATTGCCAAATGGAAGGAGCGCACGGTGTTTGACCCAAACGAGCCCAAGCGCATCGCGCTCTGCATGACGTCGCTGCAAAAGACGTTGGACGCGCGCCTCGAAGAGAACGAAGCGATGGTCCAGCGCCTCCGTACGGCGCACGCGCAGCAAAAGACGCTGGTCGAAGACAACCACGCGCTTCGGGACCGGCTCGCTGAGCACGTGGCGTTCGTCGAGCACCACCGCCGGCATCTGCTTCGGTCGCTCGTGGATCGACAGCACCGGTCGTGGATCCATGCTGCTTGGTGCACATGGCTTCGGCGCCATTGGCAGACGCAGCTGCGCGACGACATTCAAGCCCGAGACGCGACGACCGAGGCACTCGCAGAGGCCGAGCGCGCGACGCGGGAGACTCATTACGTGGCCTGCCTTCGGCGCAAACAGGCGCGCCGTTGCGCACAAAGCAGCTTGGCTGCGTGGCAACAGCACGTGATGCGGCTTCGTCAGGCAAAGCTCGTTGACGGTGTGACCGACCATCTCATGCCGCCCGTGTAGGCGCGTGTCAACGTGATCGCCCGGTGGCGCACACTCAACCGGCGCACGCTAGAAAGCTCGTTTCAGTGCTGGCGCGCTTCGCAGCACCGCCTGCGCGTGCTTCGGCGCGTACTCACCCGCAGCGATCGGCGCTCTGTACAGCGCGCCCTCCAACGCTGGCGTCACACGCAGTACGAAGACGCGTCGGCAGCCAAGGACGCCCGCGTCGCCGAGCTTCAAGCAGCACTAACAGATGCCGAGGCCCAGCACGAACGCACCCAAAGAGAGCTTGAGGACGCGGCCGCCCGCATTGCCTCCTGTGAAGAAACGCTCGATACGCTGGCCGTGGCCACGGACCGCGAGCGGCTCGCCGAGGTTGCGCGACACAACGTGCTCACACAGCGGCTTGCGGACGAGCGCTGGCAGACGCTGCACGTTCGGCGGCTCCAAGACGTATTGCGGGTGTGGCGATGTTGCACCAAGCAGCGCGCGCGCCTCCGCGCCTGCGAGATGCAATGGCGCCGGCGCCAAGCACAGTACGCGCTCCACCTGTGGCATAAGCGCGCTCGACTCCGACGCTACTGCGAACCACTCTACTGGCACCTTGTGACGCGCCGACTTTTGCGGCACACGCGTCTCTGCTTTGACGCTTGGAAGTCGAAGGCGGTGCACACAAAACACCGCCGCCAACGTGTGGCGACACTGGTTCGCCGCCGAGCGACCGCCACGTACCTTTGTCCGTCCTATTCGCACTGGTGTGCGTACGTGATGCAGCGCTGTTCGCGTCGAAGTCTTCTCGTGCGTCTCGCGCAGCGCAAGTGCCGCCGACTTTCCCAGCTGGCCGTTCACCGCTGGGTGCTGCATCGAGCCGCCTGCGAGAAGCGGGGCGACCGAGTGCGCGCCCTGCTGTTGCAAGTAATTGCGCAGGAGGACCACGTGCGGCAGTACAACGCGTACCACCGATGGGCGGCATTCACTGCCCATCGGCAGTGCGTCCGCCAGTTTACAGAACAGCAGGCGCGGCGGTCTGCTCGACACGTCGTCCAGCGCACCTGGTGTACATGGCGACAGTATCTGAGCCACAAAGAACGTCAGCGTGATGAACTGCGGCGTACCGTGGTGATGTACAGCGTCCGACGACCGCTGTGCGCGGGCTGGATGCATTGGCGGCAGATCCATGTTCAGCTCCAACTGCACGAACAGCATTTAGAGGACGTCGCGCGGCGCGACGCTGCCACGGCCTCGCTCCGCGCGTCCCTCGCGCTCGCCGAGGGTGACGTAGTCGCTGCCCACGCCGCCATCGCGGCACTTCAGACCGAGATGGCATCGATCGCGGCAGACGGTGCGGCCTCGGCGACGACGGCTGCTACCTTGACACAGCGCTTAGCGACGCTCGAGAACTGTCTCATGGCGCGCGAAGAAGCGACGCAGCACCACCTTGCTTGTGCGAGGCACGACCACGGGCGCATGACCATGTGTCTGGTACGAAGGCGCGCGTCACGGGGCACGCTAACGCGCATTTGTGGTGATTTGCGTAGGAAGACTATGCGATGCGGCTGTGGCAAGCGCACGACGCGTCTGCGCAATGGCAATCGATGCATGCGTTGGCAACACGTGCGCACACGAGCACGATCGAGCAGCTCGAGACCGTTCAAGACCAGTTGGTTGCGACTGTCGCCCGCAAAGCGCTGCAAATCTGGCTGCAAAAGTCGAGTGTGTTTGTGTTCAACCGCTGGAAGACCTTTGTTAAACAGCGCCGGTCGTGTGCCGATCGAATGCGCTCCATACTGCGTCTATGCCACATCAACGTTCTCCAGCGCACCTTTGGTTGCTGGAAGGAGCTTCGCCTCCGCCGCAAGCGGCAAGCGGCCATCCTCGGCCGGTGGCAGTCGCTCCACGCGACGTCGCTGCTGCGGTCCACGTACAAGGCCTGGGTATACAATGTCAAGTGCGCCAAGTACCTCGGCCACTTGGTGCGTACGCTGGGTAGCGCCTTTCAGCATACGTCGCTCCGCCATCTCTTCTCGGTCTGGCACGCGTGGATGGCTGAGCGAAAAACCGTACGCCGCGCGCTACAGATCATTGCCGCCTACCGGTGCGTATGCTTCCGGTAGCTCGTCAATAACGCGGTTCATGCGTAGACTTCGTGAGGCCCTTGATGCATGGAGCGCAACGGCCGAGCGCCTTGGCGCGCAGCGCTACGCGGCGCAGCTCGCGCTCGGCGCTGCGACGCTCCAGAAGGCGTATGCAGCAGCCTTGCAACACTACTGGTTTGGCTCGTGGGTCGACCACGCGATGAAGCTCAAGCACGACCGGCTCTTGTTGCTACGCTGTGCGGCCCGTCTTCGTCATCTAAGTGTCGGGCGGCCGTTCAATACGTGGCGTGACCACGGCCACGAACGACGTGCGCGTCGGTCCAGTTGCGACCGACTTGGTCGTGTCGTCCACAACCATTGGTGCCGCGCGGCCTACAGTCGTTGGCGCCAGCAGTGGCTTCTCGGCTTGCAGCGCGACCGGACCGCCGCGATCCTTCACGCACAGCGTCTCCAGCACGACCTCGACACCTTGAAGCAGAGAGCGCAGTCGGCCCAACATCGAGCTTCCCATTTGCAAGCACAGCAGGTTGCTGCCTTGGTGGCGCGGGCGTCGCGCAACGTAATGCGCTCTGCGTTCATCGCGTGGCGTACTCTGCACGAGGTGCAAAAAGCGCGGCATGCACGTGTGCAGCATGGCCTTCGCCGTTGCCATCAGCAGCATGTCGCACAAACATGGCGTGCGTGGCACCACTGGGCATCCCAGCGCCAGGTGTACCGCACGCACTTGACTGTCCAGACTCTGCGATGTCGCCAGCTCTCTGCGCTTCGTCGGTGGCGGCGGCGTCTCGCCGAGACCCAACGAGAAATTGCGTTCTGTGTCATTGCCGACGCATTCGTGGTCACTCGCAGACTGCAGCAGGCATGGCGCGGATGGCTCGCAGCTCGCGCCCACGACGTGCGCGCCAGAGACGTCCTCTTGTCGGTGCTGCGTCGCTGGGAGACGACCCAAGTGGACTGCTTCTTTCGTCGGTGGCACCAGACACGCATAGCGATCGCGACATTTGAGAGGCGGCGCGCGGCGCTGCAGAGGCGGCAGATACGGCAGCACCTGCAGCGCTGCTTAATAGCGTGGGTCCACTGCACGCACGACCGCCGCGTGCGGCAGCGCCAGTATACTGCTGCTGATGGCTTGTGCCAGCGACGTACCTTTCAGCGCTGGCGCCAAGCTGCGTACAAACGTGGCTACGTGCGCTACCTCTTATGTCGCGTCGAGCGCCGGAACTACCGGTCCGCCTGGGTGCTTTGGCTCCGCGGGATGGCCGCGGCCGATGTGGCACAGCTGCACGCCACTGTCGCGGCATTGGAAACCGAGCTCGCGCGCGTGCAGACATCCTCGACTGCGGCCTCCGCCGACCTGGCAGCGTCGCTCGACATTCACGAAGCCACTGCCAAGTCGCTGCAAGTCGCGTTGCGCGAGCGTTCTGCGAGCTTGGCGGCGTATGTTGACAAGACCCGGCACGTCCAGCACCTCGGACGGTGCTTGCGCGCGTGGTTGCAGCTTGTTCACTGCCGCGTGCAAGCCGCTGCCACCACCGTGGCGTTCTTCCAGCGCCGACGAGCAGATCATATCCGATCGATCGCGTTAGAGTCGTGGCGTGTCCGTGTCAAGCGGCGTCAGCGACGTTGTCGACTCACAAGCAAGTTTCAAGCGCGGTACCTCACACGCGCGGTCGCCCAGTGGCACAAACAGACTACGACAAAGGTGCATTGTACGACATTTCGTGCCAAAGTGTCTAACTGACGTCATCTAGCTCGTCCTACGGCGCGTCATGACGTGTCTGATGCGACGCGGGCTCGGGTTGAAGCGCCTCGCGTGGCGTCATTGGCTGCTGATCGTTGTTGTCCGTCGCTTGGCCTTGACGCACGCGACGGTGTTGGACCGCGAACGCCGTCTCTCGATGGACGCTGGCCTGCACGCCTCGGTGGCCGCCAACGTACAAGCGCACTTTTGTTTCTGAAACGAATTCCAATCTCAACTCTGTAGCGGGACGTGATCACGTGGAAGCGCAAGTGGGCCATCTCGCTCGTCATCTCGCGAATGCGCTGGAGCCGGCGCTGTCGGCAAATGGCAAGCTTCCAGCAGTGGCAGCACGCAACATCCAAGGTCGCGTGGCAGGCGCAGACTCGTCGCGCGAGCCAGCGTCGCGAGTCGACGTTTGGTGTCGAGCTGCAGGCAGCCCTTGCATCGGCCAGCGCGGCGCATGTTCACGCCACCGAAGCGCTTGTGGCGCCGCTTCGGACACTGTTGCACATTCTCTTTCGCGCCAAGTCGATTGAGGCGCTTCTCGACGGCGTCGCAGCATGTGCTCTTCCCCACACGACCGGTACATTCTTGCATTTGATCTTGGATGCTGAAATAAGATCTTGGTGTAGGCTTCCTGTGGCTTGCCAACCCTACCAACGACGAGCTGTGGTCCAAGGCCAACGATGCAGTCGTTGCCGTGCCAAGTCACATGGGCATCGCAGGACGTGTGTTTACGTCCGGAGCAGTCTTTCGATCGACCGACGTGGCCGCTGACCGGACCTTTCACCCCATGGTCGACGAGGTAGAGCCGTCTGTAACTGCGGTGCCTGAGAGGACCGTAGTGTGTGCTTGCTCCTTTGCTGCGTCGAGCTACCGCCCCTCGTGAGCCGCTCCGACTTGTCTGCGTCCCCATTCAATCGCAGAAAGGTAGCGCTGCATCGTTTTCTCGATTTGGTCGACCATCTTGGTGCAAACAGGACCGGCACTGGGTGTCGTGCAGATGGCGTGCGCTGCGTCCGCGTCCGCGACAGACATGTTCGTGCTGTGCCATGCCGCGGCTTTTGCCAGTACACATTCTCCACTGCTGTCGCTTATGCTTGACGACTCGAGTAGTCGAGTGCATCTTGACCGACGCATTGAAACACGCTACAAAAGAGGCGACCAGCGGTGCTGCCATCACGCGCGCCAAGCTCACCAAGACCTTCAAGCAACACCGCAACTGGAGGATCTACTACACGGACTTGGCCCGTCGGTTCTCGGCGCTGCAAGCCGACCACGCAGCACTAGAGGCCGCCAAAGCCTTGTGTGACGACGACGTCGCGTCGCTCCAGCACCGCATCGCCACCGCCGAGCGCCGACACCGCGCCGCGGAGTCCGAGCTGCACGAGGTAGCACAACACATCGTAGCGGGTCGAGAGCTGACGATGCATCTCGCCTAGCACATTGCAGCCAAGCAGACGCAGCTGCAGGAGAAGATCTCGGCATTGGAATCCGCGCTGATTGCGCGGGAGGACGCGGTGGTCGACCTTCGTCATGACGTGGAGGCCAAAAGCGCCAAGTTGCGTCAGTACAAGGCCGCACTGCAGAGCTATCGGGTCCGCGCTCGGAGCGAAGCGCCGCCGACGCAAGACGACGGCAGCAGTATGCAGCGGGCGGCGGAGATCTCGAATTTGCGCAACCAGCTCGGACGAGCCCAAGCCGACGCGCAGTTCTTAGCGAAAGCGATAGCCCACGCGATGCTGCACGACGGATGCCTCCCACGCTCCATGGAGGCCGAAGTGCTTCGCATTTGCTCGGCGCAAACTGCGTAAACCGCAGTGAACTATCCAAATTACTATCAATTTATCAACTACCTATCGATGTATCGGGTGGTACGTCGTCGACTTGGTACGGCGAAGGGTGTCTTGGGTCCTTGCCTGGCTCGCACGTGTTGGGGCTAAAAAGCTTGACTCGAAGGCGGGCTTTCGGCGAGTTGCAATCACGGCGGCCTTGGCGGGTGGTGCTACAGATGTGAATGGTTTTGCTTTGAGTTTGCGCAGCGGGGGCGGCTCGGGGGAGCTCTGCGCAGTGGCCAGCAGCGATTTCTTGGTCGTAGATCGCTTCGTCTTGGCAGTTGGCAACTTTCGCTTCGACTTGGTGGATAGCGTTGTAGCATCCAGAGCAATAGTAAAGCTAGGATGTCGACTCTCGATGGGGTCGAAAGTGCGTGTAGTCTTGGTCTCGACGGTGCTCTGTGGCGCTGTCCGGCTCGGCGCTGGCACTCTAAGAACTGACGCATCCTGCTGGTGAACTGAGGTATCGTGGTGGCTTTTCTGCAGCATCATCTTTTGGCGTGCGCGAATCGACTCGGAGAGCTCGAGCGACTCCTGCAGCGTTGCGCACTGCGCTTGGAGATCGACGTACGCGCCGTGGAGTGCATCGTAGCCGCGCAGCTTGGCGTGCGCTGCAGCCATTGATCGCTTCATCTGCTTACTATGAGCCAACGCGATGCGAGGACGCAATGCACCTGGTCCATTTCGAAGCGCAGGTGGTCGTTCTCGTTCTGGAGGTCATGCAGATCGCGCTGGAGACGAATGAGATTGCCCATGCGCCCGCCAGGAATCGTCGATGAGCCCTGGTTGCGCCGCGCCGCGCTTGGCCCTGGCGGTGCCGTAGCTGCAGGTGCCACGTCACGTACAGCGGCCACTAGCGGCCGCGTCCGGCCCTATTCGCACCAGCCTCAGTCAGCGCCGGTGAGATGGCAAGGAACGCACGGTCGCCGGGGCGGCCAGCCGCGACGCCAGCTTGGACACGTCGCCTTGGAGGTCCGCGAGCCGCTGCGCCAGCGCTCGCCGGTCCATACGAGCACACGACGTCGACGCGTCCGGCAGACTCGCGTCGCTCCGCTTCATGATCAAGATCCGTCGTCTTCGAACTTCGCGTGTACCGAATATCGAAGCAGATTTGAAGAGTCGCTGCATCAGCTGGGCACCATGCCGGGTCCTTCCATGTGAACCAGCTCTGCACGGTCGGTACATCTACCTTGGCATTTATGTACGTTGGGCACATCCTCGAACGTAGAAATTGAGCGTCGGGATGCTGCACCGTATACCTGGGTTCGGCGCCACGCGCCTTCACCGTGAGCAATCAGGTGGCTACACGCCGCGACCTCGCCCGCTCGGCAAGGTGGCGGAGCGCGCCAGTCCACAAGAAGGTACGCTCGCAGAGAGCAAGCGCTGCGACAGTGCGGCAGCAAAATATGACCTTGAATGCCACATCGTACCGGGTCGGAATGAGACGCCGCTTTGGCATACAACACCCGCGTGTACCCTGATGCACCCTTGAAGCTCGTTTGCGCGACCACCACGTACGCTGGTTGCGCAATGCTATGCCCGGCCTTGCGCATCGGGTCTTGCTCGGCCGGCTTTGTTGGGCGTCGATGCTTGGCTCGGTCCTGCATCGGCCCCTCGAATGGACATCCAGATGGTACGCTCTGCATGATACGCAACTTGCACTCGACCACCATGCACCGAGGTCGACAACGCGAGAAGCAACTCAAAGAGATGTAGTGGAATAGATAAGTGTTGGTGGGATTAAATAACACACAAGGTTCACGACAGGGCTCTTCCGACTCGGAGCCGCTCACAGGTTGACAAACCACGTGGGAAGGAGCGAAAACTTGGGGTCGACCGGGGGGCACTTGTTTTGGTCCCGCGGACGGTGCTCGCGGAGGAACTCGAGCACCTTGGTGTGGCCGTGCTTCTCGGCGAGCATAAAGCCCGCGAGCGAGCAGCCTTCGTCGCGGTTCATGACGAGGAACTCGGCAATTTCATAGTCGCCGTTGGACGCGGCCGTGTCGAGCGCGTGTTTCGTGCACTTGCCGACGTTTTGCTTGTGGAGGAACGTGACGAGCGCCGTGTCACGGAGCTGCGCGGCCGTGTTGATGCCGTAGAGGTACCCGCCTTCGAAGCTCGGGCACGTGTAGCCGGTCGGGCGCTCGGCCATGAGCGCTTTCGCGCTGCGCACGTCCTTCTTCTCGATGAGCTTGAGGAGCACGTAGGCGCGGAACATGTCGGGCGATGCGAGCAGCGCCTGCTTTTGCTTCTTGCACACAAGCGCGTGCTTGGTCTTCTTGCGGTAGCCCATGACGATCTTGGAGACGCCTTGGCTGAGGCCGTGCTGGTACGAGAGGATCGAGTCGAGGAGCGGGCCGTTCGTGAGCACCGCGAACGCAACGTCGCCGGACGCCATGGTAGTTGTCGAGGTCGAATGGGAAAAGGAAAAGTGTGATCCTGAAGCGGCCGCTGTGAAAAATGTGACAGAGCGCTGCGTCTGAGCACAAGGTGCTACCGCTCGCCCGACGAGTGGGGATTGCATCGTGTCTAGCTGGCGCGTCAAAAGAGCGTGGCCAATCAAACGCCGCATTTGCACTGTCGCAGGGTACACACGCCGCAGTCGATACCGGGTTTGAATCTGGTGGCGGCCATGGGACAGTCGACGATGTGGCTCGAGCTTACGTCGGACGAGACGGCAATCTGATTGGCGCCAGCACCGTCCACGAGCGTACGGCTATGGATCACGTGGCTACGAAGGCACGTGGGACGAGCCGGGAATTTGTAAACGGCCTGCTCTGGACCATACGAACGTGGCAAGCTTGGACCGAGCGCGCCCTTCAACGTTGTCAAAGGCAGGTGCTTGCGCGAAGCACAACACGCTACTCATAGTTTTTGAGGTCGCTCCACTTTGGCGACTCTGGGCTCGCAAAAGTTGAGGGCACCTGCGGCTTGTAGAAACGCGCGGTGCGAAACCCGCCTCTGAGATTACGCGTATATATGCAGATTGATCTGCAGACCGAGAAAATGCTCGACGCGGCCCAAGCGATATCGCCGACGTGTCGCGGCCGCATTGCCGCGGCGGCGGTTAAAAATTAGCGCCGAACTAGCACCTTTGCGTGTACTGCGATAATAATAAAAGAGACACGGGCGATATGCAAGAGGACGCGTGCATGTCCGTGTGCCACGTGTCGACGGGCACCTGCTCGCTGCACGGTCAACGGAGCTGGCAAAGACGCATCGTCGCATTGGATAGATATCTTTGGGTCGTCGCAGCGACTGCCCCCGTCGCGCTAGAGTTGCGCAGGCCGTCGTCGGCAAAGGTCGTCGCTCGACCGCTACTAGTACGTTGACACGCGAGAAACGGATGCACGGCTTAAAGGATTCTCAGGGCGCGTATATTACGACGAGTATATCCAGCGTGTTCGAGCGCTTGATTCAAGCAAGGTCTCAGTCGTGCAATCGAACGCGGGGGGATTCGAACCCGCGACTGCAACATGAAGATCCGACGGTCGAACACCGACGTAATGTCTGCAAGATTCATCAGCGAATCTCAAAGAAAAATGCGCGCGGTGCAGATTCGTCTCTTTGCTACAAGCACGGCAAGGGCTTGGTTTGGTCCTACGTCAAAACACTAGTACTGTCAAACTAGAATCTTTTGCTTGGCGAGATTCGCGGCTGCACTTGTCCCGCCAGAAACGCGCGCAAGGTCATCGTGTCTGAGTGTCGTCGGAGTCTGAGCCTGATACAGACTCTTCTGGTGTCGAGTCTGAGCCTGCGAACTTGCTCGTATCAGATACAAGTCGCGGCTGTCTAAAGACGCTTGCTCGTCTCTCCTTGCGCTCCTGTCCGCAAGAAGTGCCACTCTGAGGAAGAGGATTTGTCGCCGTCTGGGCATGCCACGTCAGGTCAACTCTCCACTTGTCCAGCCCTACCCCTTTCGACATGGGCCACATCATTGCAATTTCCTCGATCGTCTGGCCCTTGCAATGTGTTGGTACCGAGGGTACTTTAGAGCTAAAATGACGTGGAGTATCGTGAGAAAACGACTATTGTTCACAGCATATTTTGATTTTTGGTTGGTGGAGCCAACGCGGGTTTCAACCAGACTCGAGCGAGAATATTTGCAGCAGGATTTGACACACCCTGTTTGCACAAGCGTCATTCGAGTAATCGGGTCCACGTCTATTCCTTGTAGTTGAACCGTGCTCGCGCAAGTCTTTTCCTTACAGATTCTAGTAACTTAGTAATTTCTACTAGTATCGATTTGACGCTTCATGCAAACGCACAAGAGAAATAAATACTAACGATTATAGACTACTGCACCGTACAGGCCGCGACAGCGACAGTGACGCCCACAGTCACAGGCGCTAACACGACGGGCACCATGTACAACAGCTTCGAGTCGGTGTGCGGCGGGCGATGCTGGTCGTGCGGTCGATGCGACTTGAGGTACTCGGCGACGTCGGGGTGCCCATTGCGCTCCGCGAGCAAGAAGCCGACAAAGCTGCACCCTGCCGTCTCGTGCTCGTCCAGATAGCGCACGATATCCACGTACCCATTGGCGGCTGCGTCATCCATAGCCGTTGATGTGCACTGGCCGAGGCGTCGCTCGCTCAGAAATTGAACCAGTGCTAAGTCACCACAGCCCGCCACCTTGTCGAGCGCAAACAAGTACGGGGCATGCCCGTCCTCGGGCGTCTCAAAAGCCTCTTCGCCAACCTCGTCGATGAGCTCGTGAGCCTCTTCAAACTGACCGCGCTTGATGAGCTGGAACAGCACGTAGCAGCGGAAGCGCGCCGGCGACGCCAAGATCGTAGCGGCCGGGCCACTATGTCGCTGTACTCGAGCCCAGCGAGCGAGTTGCTTGCGGTAGCGGTGGCAGATGCACGAGAGGTGCCGCGCGACACCATCTTGGTAGGCTGTGAGCGCCTGGACGAGGCTCGGGTTGGTCAACACAGCGACGATCGCACTCATGTTGGCGACGCCGTTTTTTGCAAAGTGAGTAGCCGTGCCTGTATATGTCACAAAGATCACTGGGGGCTTGTATTGGATTTGGGTGTTGCCATACCTCGAGTCTCTCAGTATTGGGAGGGCTCTCACGGCCAAAAGTTCTTCACTATTATATTATTATTATTATTATATTGGTGCCAGTTGAAGTGCGTTTAAGGTTCTAGAACCGTCGGTGCACTCAAAACCATGCAGTCCGTTGGTGATTTTATTGTCTTGTATACCACGTATTAGAAAACGTGTTGATTGTGTTGATGTTATCGTTTGAGGTACCCGGTATTCCTTGCTGTTCGCCCAGCTAGCTTCAAAAATGTAATAAATTAAAATTGGAGAATATCCCATACAAACGCAGGGCGATAATAATATGCGAGACTACTGCGCCACGCACCTCGGTTCGGCGAGGCTCTCTTTTCCAGTCACTCGCTACCGTCACTTTGTTCCTCTTGTCTTCTGCTTTGATCCAACGACCAACATTGTACCTTGGGTGACGCAATATGTTGCACGTGCCCCATTCAGAGCAGATGC